GAGGGAGTAAAGAAAGAGAGCACAGGGACGCGCACGGAGAAGCAGAGGCCGCGGCGGCGAGGATGACGCGTGCGCAGTGCGAGTGGGGTTACGTCAGCGTCAGCTGTCAGGCCCGCGCCGCCCGGCAGCCGTCGCTGTTGAGGCAGGCAGGAGACCGGCAGTCAGTTCCGGGGCGTGAGAAGGGAAGGCGGTTCCTGAGAGGACAGTGGCCGGCTCAGAGACTGAGAGAGATTTCAGGACTCTCCTTTATCGTTTATTCCAGAGACTGACTGACTGTCTGAGAGAGAGAAGGGGGAATCCATTTCCTCGCCTTGCCCTTGCGGTGAGTCATGTCCGGTATTTGCTTATTGAAAAGCCCCATTTGAAAGAGGGCTGAGGGGAGAAACAAGCGAGGAAGCAAGGGAACAGAGTGGCCCTGAGGCGAGGAGAGCAGGGAAGGGGAGCCAGGTGGAGGGAGGAGGCCTTTATTCCTCTCCTTCCCCAGGAAGGCAGGACCAGGTGTGTCCTCATCGCCGAGGAGGACCAGGCACCACAAAATGGAGGAGGAATAATCATAATAATAATAATTATTATTATAATAATGGAGGACATGACCCAGTAAAAGCCAGGAAAACGTCAACCCTAGATATACAAACCCATGCTTCTTAAGGGGGTTGCAGACTGCCAGAAATAGTGCATATTGAGTCCACTTTAAGGGTTAGAGAATCATGGGAATTGTATTTTTTTCTGGGACATTGAGCCTTCTCTGTCAGAGATCTCGGGTGCCACAATAAAATACAGTTCCCATGATTCCCTAACCCTTAAAGTGGACTCAATTTGCACTATTTCTGGCAGTCTGCAAAGGCTCTTAGTCAGGCTCAAGGTGGAGGACGTTTTGGAATTCCTCCTGGATAAGAAAGTGGAAATGGAGGACACGTCCTGGAAAAGGAGGAGGAGGAGGAGGAGGGCCTCTGGTCACCTTGCCCCCAACCCAAATAAGTATTGTGTATAAGTATCCCGGCCTCCTCCCCCAATTTTCTCCCCCTCCCTCCAGTTCCTATTTCTCCTCCCTCCTCTTTTCCCTCCCCCCCTCCTC